GCACAAGAGCAGTGAGTAAGTTATAGCCAAATTTGAATTAAATTTTTCTGGCTTTTCAGCTGCTCACAAAAAGCAAGAATTCAATTATTAAATTAAAATTAATTTTTTGCTTCAGTTGAATAAGTTTTAGTTTCATTTTTTTCATGATGATTATTTTTTTGAACCAAACTTATTTCAAGATAATTAGCATAACAATATCAAGTTCACAATTAGTTATACTGTATTTTGTTACAGTATTGAATTTTATTGACCCTGATAATCTTGAGCTCAGAAGATGTGAATTTCATAAATTTTCAAGACTAAAATAAAATAAAAGTATTGTTTCTGCTTGTGCCTCAATTTGCGAAGTTCTACAGCTTTCACTCAAAACTTGCGAAAATTCCCTGGTGTTTTCCTAACCTATTTTTTTCATGTGAGTCACTGTTTATGCTTGATAAGAAATTTTCAAATTCAAAATTGTTGCATTTAGAGTTTTTTTTTAGTCCGGATTCTCTATATACGCATTACATAGAAAAAATAGTTGAACCAATTTAAAATGGCTGCGAAAATTTTCACATATTTCCCTTTTTCAGGCGCTTGCGGCCTCTGATCCCCACAGTTGCCTCATACAACTCATTTGCACCCTGGAATCCAAATTGACAACAAACCGAGGCAACGACATCTGGACAACCAGATCCGAAACACTAGGTGCTAACAAGGATTGCCAACAAGCTGACCGAGACTGCTCTTTGTCCTTGGAATCAGTCGCGGATTTTTTCATGTCTGTGCTGCTGCCGGATGATTCTGACAACACTGTCTCGGATGCAACTGACAAACAAGCATAATACCTCAACCATGGGCAATGGATGAAACACAACACGTCTTCAGCCCTTCTTTGCAATTGATGCTGATTTTATTATAATGTGTGGCCAACGTCTCCTTTATCCTTCTGCTGGTGCATCGGTTGTGCTACTTTCTCTCCTCCCCATTTCTTTTATTTCATTTTTTTTATTTTTAATCTCCCAATTGATTTTCAGAGGTATTTTCATCCTCTTCTCAGAGGCGGAGAAGAGAGTCTATCGAATATCTTGAGGCTTCGCAAGTGTACATAAAGAGCCTGCTGGGGGGTATAATAAAGAGCATGTGGGACAAGGATTGTTGGGGAAGAAAAAAAAAGGAGATGAACAAGTGTTTTGAGTTCTTCCTTTTCCTGTAACTAGCAATTGTGGGCTCTTCTTTGGACCCACATTCTTCACTACACAGGTGTCAAGTGTGAATAAATACAGCAAAATTTGCTATTAACATTACTGTACTCTTTATATGAAAATTTAAAAAAAGCTGTAAGTGATGGGGGAAAACACAATTTCAGAATAATAATACTGTATCCTGTATAAACAGGATTTCAGGAGACTGGCTGATGAAGAAAAGCCTTCTCATTGAAATAATAATTTGGTACAGTATTTGAAAGATTATTAGATGTGTTTGATTTGAATGTTGCAGAATAAAGGAAGGAAATTTTCCTCACACTCAAATGGGCACACATAAGATTTTTAAGATAATTAAAAACATTTAAATGATTCAATGGAGAATGTTAGTGATTGAGAGCCAGAAAAAATATTTCACACTCATTTTGAAATGAAGGCAATGGAGGCATTTCAATCAATTTACAAAATGCAGGATCAAACTGGGAGTTGTGTGGCATTTTTGCATCATGTTGAACTTCTTTATTTTTCTAACTAAAGTAAAAATGAATATGATGTAAAAACTTTGAAGCATTTTCACCAGAGAAAACCATGATGACTAAAAACTACAATACAATAATGAACATTTGATATATTCAGGTGAAGACAAAAATAAGGATAAATAACCCACATTAACTGGTTATACTTAAACTTTGCAGAGGGGCACCTTTGAACTTTGAAAAGGCAAATAAGAGCTCCTAGAAGCAACATTTTCTAGATAATTGATCCTAAAATATTGAAAGAGTTTGATAAATCTATCTGTTTTAAAATCCAGAGTACTACAGTCAACAGGTGAGGAAGACATTTTAAAACTTGCTTATCCTACAGAATGCCTATAGGCTGACTCCATTAGCCTACATTTGAAACTATGATTCATTGCAGTTCACATGTTCATATTTTTTTCCACCTTCTGAGATACATATTTACTGGAGTAACAGAACCCTTGAGTAAGACATTCACCTAAATTTGTTTTTAACCAGAATATACATGGCAAAAAAAATTTTTCCCACATAAGATTTGAACCCCAGTTTTCATTTCCAATGATTTTGTGATTTTTGCCTGAATTTAAAGAATTATGGCATAATTTATGCCCAAATAAAATGTGAATTCAATATCATATTTGCCTATGTTTATATTTCATCTGAAATGCTACAGCTGCTGATTCAACTATGACATGCACCAACAGTCAGAAACATTTCAGAAAAACTGTATTACTGGGAGATGATGCACATCCCAAGTTTTGGTATAACAATTTCTGGGAATAAGGTACACATGTACTTGCATGAATACATTAGCATATTTTTGATTGTTTGATCACCATAAAATTCAAAAATGGAAAAGTTTTTTTTTTTTACCTGCAAGATATTTTTTTGCAATAGAGGTCTGGAAGTCCTCCTGGTGGGTGAAAAAAGTCAAAGGTGAATTCCCACTGGTGGGAAGAAAATTAAACTTCTGCACACATCACCATTACTTGTGGAAATAAAACAAGAACAACAAAAAAAATCCCGAAGCTTTATAGAAACTGAGATCAGGTTCCATTAAAGACCAAGTTAAGCTAATGCTTCCTCAATTAACCTAATCGCATTTTACCCTCCACAGAAACACACTTTAAATTTAATTTTTTTTTTCAAAACCGAGACAAAAAATAATAATAACTTGACCCATAAAAATGAACACGAGGGAAACATTTTCCGCCACATTTCTCCTTTTTTTTCTGCTCCTGCTGGTGAGTGTGCTTGGTTTCCCCCCGAGGGGACAGCATTCCTCCTTGGTGGGTTTTAATAGCCCCTGAGGGCAAAAACGCGTAAGCTTGAGAGCATCAACGTGGTAAGGGACTAAACCCGACTGAAAATAAGTGAAGCCCTTAATACGTTCTCCTTCTTCTTTGAAACAAGAGGGAACCATTTGAAATATTTTCGGCATTCAGGTTAAAAGGATATCGTGTCTCCAGCAAAAAACCTTGGTTTTGTTTCAAAAACCGAACCACGTTCACAGAAAACGCCCGTTGATCATTAGATGACGTTTTAGTGTTCCTGTAAACAAAAGCACAGTCTTGTCTTCATTCCGTCAAGTATTCATTCCTATATCTTTGAAAAATGTTCCCAACAATTTTATTGGGGATGAAGGAAGTACTGTCCATTCTTCTTTTTGATCAGAAGATACTTTTCATCCAAGAAATGATTTGAAAAAAAATCTTTTTTCTTTAGGAATACCATACAGAACACAGTGAACCATTCAACTGTCTCAATATAGTAAGTTTTCAGTTCAAAAGTTTATTTTCAGGTATGCAGTGGACAGCCAATAGCACTGAACCAGGGTTTGACTGTACTGTAGTTAAACCTCTGTAAGTCATTCAACTTAGGGAGGTTTTGATTTTTGGAGGTATCCATTTAAGGAAACAAACACTTTTGTTGTGAAGTGAAAAAAGCATGTGGTAAATTGTAAATGAGGATATTCTGGCCTAAACTTCTCCCTTAATGAGTTTACACCTTTTGCTGAACTTGGAGGCAAGGTTTTATTTGCTACATCAGTCTTTCACTTCCTTTCAAGATGCATAAAATCATTCGTTTTAATGATTTTCTCTTTCATATTTCAAGGAAATAATAACCAGAAGGCAACAGGAAATTTGAATTGAGGTTTTAGAGGAAAAGACTTTGAGCTTGGGAGGTTTTTAATACTTTGATTTCAAGGGAATTCAGACAGGGACTTGAAAAAAAATTGACTTAGGGAGGTTTGGATTATTGAGGTTCACCTGTACCTCAAAGTTGATGCGAACATACATAACCGGTTTTTACTGCATTGATGAAAAACTTGAGAAAAAGTCCCCACAACTGAAAAAAAATTTTTTTTTCTCAACTCCAAGATACAGTAAATAATTTTTCAGAAGAAAACCATGCAAAACCTGATTCGTTGGCATTAAAAAGAGCCCATAAACCAAAGTCTTCCTATGCTGAGCACAAGATGCTTAAAAGAACTCTGAAAGAAGAAGCACAAAATTATGGCCAGTTTGGATTATTAATTATGGTGAATTTGTGTTGAACTTCATGTTTAATGTTTGTGAATGCTATAGGTTCAACTTGTTCAAGAAGAGATAGCAAAATGTTTATTCATTCGTTTGGAAAGTTTGGTGAAGTGTCAGTTTCTCTGGATACATTGTCCCCGGATGTGCTGGGGCCCTCACCGCATTTCTGCACTGTTTTTATTTTTTTTTCAAGTCGAACCAGTTCAATGGTGACGCGCTTGTGTCTGCAATTATACGAAAAGGTAACCTTTCCATCGCCGGGACCAGACCGATAATATCTATCCTTCCGACGGAAATGAGTCCAAAGCACCAAGCACCACTGTCTCGAATTCGTAGTACTGTACACCAGTTGATTACATTTATGGTATTCTCCATCAGTGATGACCTCGGATTCGTGGGCAGTGAAAGTCGAATTCTAACAGCTCATGACTGCAGTCCCGACGGTGTTATGTTCTTCCTTGCAGATAAAATGAAAACTAACGCAATGATAAGGTTACCTTTTTTTCCGCTCGATTAGTCCTGCGGACTCCTGCCTTTCTGGGGGGAAAGGCGATATTCGACGGAAACCACAAAATGTCCGAATACTGTTTCCTTCGGGTGATGGAACGAGCAGGAGAAAATTCCGTCTACTTTTCCCAGTCAACTTTTACCCATTCGCAATCTGTTCTGAAACAGCGAAAACCATTTGTCAGGACCATCTGTTCCGATGAGTCGTAACATTCAAGTATTTTGAGCAGATGAGCTAAAGTAAAATGACGTTTTGATGAACGTTTTCCGTCAACCTTTAATCAAATTTCTTTGGTACAACAATGACACCAATAAATAAATAACCCTTGAAAACAAAACTTTGAGCACTTCGTTGAATCTATTGCTTCTTCAAATTTGAGCAACAGCGCTTTCAAGGCCGGATTTCCACATAGACAATCAAAAAAGGCTTCGGTCTAAGCCGATTTAAACCGAAGAAATTTTGCTACGTATCACGGAATAATTGACAAAGAACGCCTAGAGATTTTTTTCTCTTTCTAAAAAATTTGTGACGCAGTTCAGGCGACCGTGAAGTACCATAAAATTCTTTTATCTGGATTAGGATCTACCGTGACAACTCCAATCAACCGTTCACAACCGTTTAAATTCACTGGAAAGTTATCTTCGCATTTTTCCTCGAAGTTGTCCAGAGTTCTCCTTGTAGTTGGCGAGGAAAAGGATTAAATGAAAGATCTCAAATGCCGGTGGACTGTCTCTCAAATAAGCAGCATCACAAACTCACGCTCCCCCCATCCTTCAAAATTCAACAACAACAAAAATTGAGTGAACAATCACCGCACCTCTAGGTAACCATCAAACAGTGAAACAGCCTGATTGACACATGAAATCGACCATATTAGACATCTTATTGATCCTCGTTATTGTCATTCTGGTCGTTGTTCCCGTTTTCGAAATCGTTCAGAGCACCATTTAATGATGTCGCTATCGGCGTAGCAACGAACGTAGCCGTTGGGATGAGTTCGGCGAAAAACGCGGCAAATACCGCGGAATTGATGGCCATTGTTCCTGCGACCATCGGCGATGCTCCGAAAACACTCTGCAACCGCTCAAAAAATGTAGGAGCCTCAGTTGTTGTTGTCGTTGTTGGAGGATTCACGTTCCGACGGGATCCTTCTGTTGTTGTCGAAGTTGTGCTCGATGACGTAGTAGTCTCACTTGCTGAGGAAACCTGTCCTGCATTTCCACTCACAGATGTGGTGGATGAAGATAGCTGGGGACCAGTTGAAGACGATGATGCAGAAACAGTAGACGGCGAGGAAGTATCACTACTGCTGGAAGCGGTACTCGCGGAGGATGAATCTTGGGAAGTGGTAACCGCAGAAGATCCCGAAGAAGCACTGTTGGGAGTGGTACTCGCGGAAGATCCAGAAGGAACACTGCTGGGAGTGCTGCTGGTACTCGCATCAGACGATGACGAAGAAGCACTACTAGTGGAGGAGGAACTAGGATCACTGATAGATGACGAAGAACTAGCATCACCGGTAGATGACGAGGATGAAGAACTAACACTAGACACCGTTGAGGAAGATGAATCACTACTCATCATCATCGAAGCCAGCGAATCTGAAGGACTAGCACTGCTGCTGCTCGTACTACTAGAGCTTGCCTCCGTCGTTGGACCATTGTTTGATGCGTCCTGACGTGCTTCATTTCTGCCCAAATATCCGCGATCTTCCTTCAAGTCCAAGAACGATGATTTCGCGAGAGGCAAGCCCACCTTGATTCGATTGAATTCCGCCGATGATTCAGTCGTTCGTTGCCAGGATGCGAATGGTGACATCGCAGGCTGCCATATGCGTGCTATCCGTGGCCGACGGAACTGTGCGTGCGGAGCACACAGAGCCTGGCCCACCAATAAAATCATCAACACAAAAGACACCCATGTTTCGGACTTCATTTCCGCCGCATGTCACAAATATATTCCACGCGTGCGCAAATCAGTCGACTCTGTGTCACTCGGTGCCTGTTGAAAAAAAGAGACCCAATTGTTTATTTTAAATAGTTTTATGAGAATAACTGATGAGTGAGTGGGAATATCTTCCTGTATTCGGTGATCCTACATAGGTGACCTTGCTGGGGTCAATGGATTTTTATGAAAGTTCCTCACACTGTTAATTTGCAACTCATCTATCTTCTGATGGTTCTGCCATTTTCTGGCATGTGCATTGAATATGATTGCGCAGATAGATTTTCATGGAGCCTTCATATTATAAATTTCATTTAAAAAAATGCACATTCACTCAGTTTTCTATTTTACACCCATCATATATACAGTGCGTTGTACTGTACATCTCTATTGATATTTTTCCTATTTTCCACATTAATAATCTCGTATGTGGAAAAAAGATGCGTGTTATCCCGGTTTGATCTATATTTCATATTATCCAAAATGCTACATTGTGTAAATGGGTGAAATTGATATTACAGTGCAGTCATAAGTTATGTAGGTTTAAAGTGGAATAATTTTCTGTCAATGATTTGAGACTGATTGAATAAAAAAGACGCGTTAAGTAAAATTTTAAATTAAGTCGTGAACTAAAAATCTTAGTGAACAAATACATTTCACCCACACGACATCTGTGAGTACTAGTACTAACTGATATAGCGTCCATACTGAATTCTTATCAAGTGCATGAGAGAAAAGAAAGCCATTGCAGGAAAGAAGTGAATAGACTTCTTGAAAATTATAAAATCCTGCTTCAAGTATGGCCACTTACAGCTGAGAGCCAGTCCAAAGGGAACTTCATCCATTTTCAGAATGTTCATACATACTTATTACAGTCTTTATTTATGCATCCCTGACAAGGCAAAAACTATGTTTAACCCTACCCAAGAAAAATATCATTATCAATGCTTCAAGTATTTTCCAAGTGTAAAAAAAAAACATAAAAAAACAGGTGGGTTGATTTTTTTTAAGAAAAATATTTCAAATACAGGAATTGGGAGTTGATATGTACCTCAAATGAATGTAGATGTTAATTGCCTCAGCTGAAGAAATATCCAGAAAAATTTCAAACTTTTCCTGTTTTCAGAAAGTTTCATGATGTATTCTCACTACTTTGTTCTAGAAAACTCCTACAATTTACTTCCCTCATGCTTGCAGTCTACATAAAAAAATACAAGAATAAGTTAGTGATTCACTGTATTTCTGGAAGCTTCCAGAATTTTCATTTTCAGTGTGCACTTGAAGTTGCACACTCCCACCTTTCAACTGGTACATGCATGCATCAGCTTTCTGAAGCAACTGTTTTCATTTTCAGAAACAGGTACAAAAGTGATGCATAATTCATAATTTTCATTTTCAGTGTGCACTTGAAGTTGCACACTCCCACCTTTCAACTGGTACATGCATGCATCAGCTTTCTGAAGCAACTGTTTTCATTTTCAGAAACAGGTACAAAAGTGATGCATAATTCATCTATTTGTAGTGATTTTTAAAGAAAAGTAATTGAGATCACAAACCATTGTGCCATTATATACTGTATTTGTGATGAACTGAATGCAGCATTATGTTGTCAGTTCATAATTTTTTAGGAAATTTTTTTTTTTTTGTTCAGGGAAATATGGAGCAAGGATATAACAAAACTGCACTTGAAAAAGAAAATTATGAGTTGAATTGCAGCACTTCCTCCAGAGAAAAAGAAAATGGAATTTTTCTCTTAAAAAAACATGAACAGCATACATAGGGTTTGAGCACTATCAGATATATATGGAAAATGCTGAGGGATTTAAGAGAAAACAGTGATCTTCTGGTAAAAGAAAATAATGAATAGACAATTTCTCTTTCAACAAAGGTTCTTTAAAAAATGGCTGAAAGGAGAGAAACACAAGATTGACAATCAATGCAAAGTGTTTAATCAAGAAAGGTCAAACACATATTTCTTCCCAATCTTCAGTGCAAATTTGCAAAATTGTAGAGGAGTTCATTTATTTTTATCATTGTGGCCAACAGAGAGGGCTTTTTTTCAATTTGGCCCTTTGACCACTTCTGAGTTGGGCACCACTGTGTTAGACACTAGTTTCATGGACAGGAAGAGATGTTGCTTTCTTCCAGGTTTGGACAAGACTGAAGGGGAGCACCAGGGTGCTCTAGCCTTAGAATGGCTGGACATAGAAAGTCCAGTACATGAGCGCGCGGTTTCAGAGAATAGTGAGCGGCCGGTGACATAGATGTCGCCGGTACTCAATGTGTCATTGGATTGAACAATTTTCGGGCACAGCTAAAATCACCGCTGAACCCATGAGGACGCCGCTCCCCGCCATTACTCCATGGAGTCCACACCCACCCCGCACACTCGCGCCCAGTCTTTCCTTGGGTGGACATACCCCCATACAACTACTGAAATATGTTTACACTAAAATTAGGCAATATGTTGTTTTCCTCTGTTTATAATGTAAGTAAACTATGTAAAATATTATCAGGCTTTGGGGGCAGTTAGTTTAGGTTATAGGTCAGGTTATGCTAGTGGAAATATATTTTAAACTAAAACAACCTGGCCTGACCAAACTTAGGTAAGGTCAGTTGTAAGCCTAGGCATATTTTACTATTTTAACAAAAATTACCAGACTTTGGGGGCAGTTAGGTCAAGTTAAATTAGTTAAAAGATGCTTTTAACTTACATATAACCTGACCACTCCTGAAGTCTAGTAATTTTTAAAAACAATTTAACTACAGTAAATAAACAGAGGAAAACAACATACAGTATTGCACACAATGTTTTGCACAATTTTACTGTAAACCTTTTTCAGCATTTGTACTGTGGAATGTCCATCCAAGGAAACACTGGGGTTTGCAGGCAAGGCAAACCCCAGCGCATCGCGTGCAGGCATGATTTTTTGTTTGCCCCAATTTTCCTACACAGGGTGGGCCAGAAAAAAGTGAAACAATTTTCAACACACAATAGCTCAGTAGCAAAACAAGCTGTGGCAATGAAAAAAAAAACAACAAATGGAAGCTTCAATTCCCTTTTGAAAGGTACAAAATTTTATTGTCTAAAGTGCCATGGTGTGGTCACAAGAAAGACTACAATGAAAATTTTCAAAAAAAAGTTGTCAGGCAATTTCTTCCACTAAGATGCCATTCTCCAGAGCTATTTTAGGGATAGATAAGGTGAAGGAACAGTAATTTCAATAGCAGACTTTGTGCTACCTTTAAGAGGGAGCACACATTCCCGAAATTTAAGAGGTGGGGCCATGAGGGTGAGAGGTGCAACCAAAAAACAAAATGCAAGCTTTTTGGGTGCCAGCCTCTTTGTTCCTGTGACCCCCTGCACGGAAATTTCTTTGGTATGACTGGATTACTCAAAATCAGCTTCACTCATAAATAATCACAATTGTCANATTTTCATTTTCAGTGTGCACTTGAAGTTGCACACTCCCACCTTTCAACTGGTACATGCATGCATCAGCTTTCTGAAGCAACTGTTTTCATTTTCAGAAACAGGTACAAAAGTGATGCATAATTCATTTATTTGTAGTGAATTTTTTAAAGAAAACTAATTGAGATCACAAAATCATTGTGCCATTATATACTATATTTGTGATGAACTGAGTACAGTACTGTGTTAGTTCATAACTTTTTAGTAACATGTGATTTTTTGTGCTGGGAAATATGGAGCAAGGATATAACAAAAATTGACTTGAAGAAGAAAATTATGAGTTGAATTGCAGCTCTTTCTCCAGAGAAAAAAATTGAAAATGGAATTTTTCTCTTGCAAAAACATGAACAGCATAAAATGGGGTGAAGCACTAGCAGATACAGTATATGGAAAATGCTGAGGGATTTAAGAGAAAACAGTGATCTTCTGGTAAAAGAAAATAATGAATAGACAATTTCTCATTCCACAAAGGTTTTTAAAAAATGGCTGGAAGGAGAGACACACAAGATTGGCAATCAATGCAGAATGTTTAATCAAGAAAGGTCCAACACATATTTCTTCCCAATCTTCAGTGCAAATTTGCAAAATTGTAGAGGAGTTCATTTATTTTTATCATTGTGGCCAACAGAGAGGGCTTTTTTTCAATTTGGCCCTTGACCACTTCTGAGTTGGGCACCACTGTGTTAGACACTAGTTTCATGGACAGGAAGAGATGTTGCTTTCTTCCAGGTTTGGACAAGACTGAAGGGGAGCACCAGGGTGCTCTAGCCTTAGAATGGCTGGACATAGAAAGTCCAGTACATGAGCGCGCGGTTTCAGAGAATAGTGAGCGGCCGGTGACATAGATGTCGCCGGTACTCAATGTGTCATTGGATTGAACAATTTTCGGGCACAGCTAAAATCACCGCTGAACCCATGAGGACGCCGCTCCCCGCCATTACTCCATGGAGTCCACACCCACCCCGCACACTCGCGCCCAGTCTTTCCTTGGGTGGACATACCCCCATACAACTACTGAAATATGTTTACACTAAAATTAGGCAATATGTTGTTTTCCTCTGTTTATAATGTAAGTAAACTATGTAAAATATTATCAGGCTTTGGGGGCAGTTAGTTTAGGTTATAGGTCAGGTTATGCTAGTGGAAATATATTTTAAACTAAAACAACCTGGCCTGACCAAACTTAGGTAAGGTCAGTTGTAAGCCTAGGCATATTTTACTATTTTAACAAAAATTACCAGACTTTGGGGGCAGTTAGGTCAAGTTACATTAGTTGATAGGTATTTTCAACTAGCATAACCTGACCACCCCTGAAGTCTAGTGATTGTAAAAAACACTTTAACTACAGTAAATAAACAGAGGAAAACAACATATTGCACACAACGTTTTGAACAATTTTACTGTACTGTAAACCTTTTTCAGCATTTGTACAGTGGAATGTCCATCCAAGGAAACACATTGCGTGCAGGCGTGATTTTTTGTTGGCCCCAATTTTCCTACACAGGGTGGGCCAGAAAAAAGTGAAACAATTTTCAACACACAATAGCTCAGTAGCAAAACAAGCTGTGGCAATGAAAAACAAAAACAAAAAATGGAAGCTTCAATTCCCTTTTTGAAAGGTACACAATTTTATTGTCTAAAGTGCCATGGTGTGGTCACAAGAAAGACTTCAAGGAAAACTTTCAAAAAAAAGTTGTCAGGCAATTTCTTCCACTAAGATGCCATTCTCCAGAGCTATTTTAGGGATAGATAAGGTGAAGGAACAGTAATTTCAATAGCAGACTTTGTGCTACCTTTAAGAGGGAGCACACATTCCCGAAATTTAAGAGGTGGGGTCATGAGGGTGAGAGGTGCAACCAAAAAACAAAATGCAAGCTTTTTGGGTGCCAGCCTCTTTGTTCCTGTGACCCCCTGCACGGAAATTTCTTTGGTATGACTGGATTACTCAAAATCAGCTTCACTCATAAATAATCACAATTGTCAGGTGATTGTGTCCTCCACATAGTGCATTTTCATCTGAAGCAATGACTTTTCCATTTTTATTTTGATGACTTGGTGTTTTTGATGAATTCTCCTTGGTGATGATCAAGAAAAAGGAAATTCTCAACAATTGACCAATATGGTAATAAAAGTGATGGTTGGTCATGGTGATTAATGAGGGGAACTAATTGTGAGCAATATAGTCATCCAGAACAAATTTGCTTGCAGGTGGTCACAGGAGCCATGGGGCACATCAGGATTTGGGGGTGGAGCAAGATCCCATTGGTCAATTTTTTTGGCAGTCCCTCTCACCCCCACCTCTTACATTTTGATTGAATGATATGTATGCATTGTGTCAAGTGAGGAATAAATTTGGCGTGGTCTTCTCTTGAAATACACGTGGACCTCTCTCCCTCTCCTCACTCTCTCAATTTTTCCCAGAAAAAAATTTCTGTGTCAACTAGCAAAGGCACATAGGCACTGTAGTAAACCATCCACTGTGACAAAAGAATTGAATCACTTTCATCTTCAATTGGGACAAAGATCTTCAGCACCATGAAAAAGGGAAGGTTTACAGAAAAAACAGAAAGAGTTGTCAATTTTTGCAAGGTTAGAAAAGAAAGGTTGATCCGACATGGTTTGTGTTCTGATCAGCACTGGTGTCAGGAGGTGGTGGACATGCAGTTTTTGCTGCCCTTGGTTCTGGGTGGGTCGCTTTTTGCGCAGGCACGCAACCCTGGCAAGTGGTGGGAACTGAGTCACTATGTTGGGAGTCACTGATGTGTCTTCCGCCCCTTGAGCCTCCATGGTGGTTTGGTACTCCACTGCCATACCACCAATAACGGGTGCCACTTCAACTCAGGGGTTAGATAAATGATAGAAAGGCAGTCCATGGGGCACACAGGCTTTTCATTTATATTTTCCTGTGGTTTCTCATTTTATACCGCAGTAATTTTGAATTCAATGAGATGTATGAATTGTGTCAAGTGCGGAATAAATTTGAAGTGGTCTTCTCTTGGAATACAGGTGGAACTCTCTCTCTCTTTCTCTCTCTGTGCCACTTTGCCAATCTTATCTACAAGGATTTTTTTTTCTGCACAGTGTAATAAACTTTCATTTTGTCCCATGGGGTCCTCTTACCAGCATGCTATGAGGGTTTTCTACAATTAAATTCTCTCTACAACAATTTTTTTCTGGTTCATTGCATTTTGTTGTAATGAGATTCCACCTGTACAAGGTGGCATCTCTATATCTGATGAAATGTATCCATATTTGTGTTGTTGGCAATGCAATGCAATGTTAAAAACAAATATTAGAGTTGAATTTTTCTACTACAGGAAGCAGGAGTTTTGTTAAATTTATTGATGCTGTACAAGTGCAAGATAAAACTGGGTTTCAATTCCATCCTTGTGAATTTGATGATGGGTTGTTCCTTTTCTGTTCAAAGTTGGGGCTCAAGTACCATAGATTTGATTAAATTATGGACCCACAACAAATCTACCACTTGCTTAGTTTTTGAGTCAGGGAAATCAGCATTTTTGCTAGGGAAGAAAATGAAGGGGTCCAGGAAGGCATAATTGGTAATATTATGTGCCTTAAATTGCTGGATGAATGAGTTGAAAGGATGCTGAACTTAGAAGCAAAAATGTATCTGTCCAATTAGTCACCCACAGCCTGCAGAAGAGCATTAATCCACCCTTTTGTTCAAGGGTTCCCAGAATGATTGTTTGAAGGCCTCTAGAAATTTGAGTTGTGGAGGTTTTGGGGATAGCCTTTGTCTTAGGGAGGTCTATATTATACTGTAGTGCTTTTAAGGGACTTGCACACCAGAATCAATCAAGAATAATTTGACTTAGGGAGGTTTGAATTTCCCAGGTCAAACTGCATATTGAAAGTGTCCTAAATTTGATGAAACCTTCTCAGATCAACAGGCGAGGTGCATGCTTTTGTACAATAACACTGTTCATATGGACAGTTGTTCCAGAGAAAACTAAATTTGTCAAAGATGTATGAAGGAAGAAATCATCAAAATCCGTTATTATTTTAATGGCACAAACATTGAAATTATGCCTGCCTAAACGGTTTGATGAGATTAAGCTAGTAACTGTCACATTAAAAATATATCCATGAATAGAAATAATCATTTCTTGTAATTAAATTGCATCCTGCATTGTTAAGTAATTTTTTAAAAACATTGTTTGCATGCAAACTATGAGTAGAGGTGCAAGCAGTTGTTGTGCATGGGATTGCATGTTAGTGTGAATAATACAGTACATGATTTGGGACAAGAAGGTATATACAGTACTGTTCTTCCATACAGTTTGCCCACTGCTTTTTACCCCAGCAAAAATGCTGGTTTCCCCAAGTCAAGAAATCCTCAAATTGAAATTTTTCTGTCCCTCGTACAAGCAACAAATTAAAAATTTTAAACTGTGCTATGTGAAGATGAGTCTTCAGCAAGTAGAATTTGTACATTCCCGATTGAGAAGGCGCGCCAGAAACATGGCGGGCATTTGTGAGCTCGGGATTTGCGCGGCACCCGGTTATTCCCCAGCGCTGCTCTATAGCACGCAAACCGACTCTTTTCGCTGCTGTTGCCGCAGCACCTTATTTCTTATAATGTATTCGGGGAAAGAAAAATTATAGCAATTTTGATGGCGGGAAGAGTCTCGGAAAAAAAAAACGTGGTATGTTGTGTGATGCATGAATGTGAAAGAGCCTCAAAAGGGCGGCAAAACGGGGCCATGAGAGCCAATTAGGCGCGATGTTGGAGCAGCACTATAGTCTGGGACAGCAGGGGAACGATCATCGCCTGGATGTCCTGCAAGGGGGGGGCAACCCCGAAATTTTAAGATACTGCTTCCACCAAAATATGCACTTGGTGAAGATATTCCCTTTCTAAATTCCTTTCACCTCTTACGGATGTATGAAGAAAAAGACAGATTTTTATCCATACTGTATTATTTACTAAAAAAAAAAAACATGTGCCCTAGGCTCAGACATGCACCTCATCAGGGATTATGACAGTTGGATTTTCCCATGTTTATTATACTGTACTAATGTAAAAAGGGAATTCAATTTTATTTTATCTGACTTTGTTTTATATGCTTCTGAAAGGGTATATGAAGGATTTGGCTGCTGATCCTTATACAATACAAGACTTGCACCAACATTGATTGATTGATGAGTATCCTGTATTTGCTGCTTGTCATTATTCACAAGGTTTAACACTTTTTAAACCAATATAATGTTTGCCACCAGCATTCCCCTTTTTTCATACTCAGTATGAAAAGCACCCTGAATGGCTGGTCCAATTATCAAGGGGGAATGGGGTAAATGCTTAAATATGGTATACTGTACTCTGTGTATACCCCATAAATGATTTGGACTGAAAAAAATCAGTAATCAAAAGCATAATTTTCAAATACAGTATAAAAAATTATGCTCATGACATAATTTGACAGCAAAGCAGAAAGTTTCTCCTAATAAAAAGCAAAAATTCAAACTTGAGGTTAAGGGATGCTATCCTGTATTGCTTGTTTGGGGCATTGAAAATATTTTAAAAATACATTTCATCAGGGAATTCATTGATTTCATTCTGCTGAATCCCTGCAGGAGACCTCCTTGATTTAAAGATTTTAAAGCTACAACAAACTTTGGTGAGATAAACAGTGACTAATTTAAAGTTTTAAAAATGAGTGAAGTTTTGTGGGGTTACTTCATCTGGCCATTTTGTTTACACATGCTGTGCATTTAAAGGGATATGGAAATATTTAAATGATGATTGCAGAGTAACATGGCACTGAGTTATGTGCAGGAATTCTATACTTAATGGGATTTGTCCAGTCATGGTATATAGCCAGACAAAAGAAACAAATGAAGAACAGATATTTTCTACAGAGAATGAACGCCCAATCATTGGACAGCTTTCAAGATAGGTATTGTAATGCAGAACTTGCTGATAGTACATCAAAGCATGCAAGAGAACCTGACACAGCAAGTTCCAGAGCTACAGCATTCCCTTCCCAGGTCAATGATGTGCATATCTTATCCTTCTGGATGATGAGGTAAAAAAAAAAAATTCCAGGTGCAAATAGCCATGAAGTCTGATCATAGTATATATATAATCAGAGCAGTACACATTCACTCCTTTCATCTGCACATTCAATAATGGAGTTTCCTGTGTATATAAGTAGTACTTGTTTGAACCAGATAACCCTGACAGGTGCGCATAAAAATGTTGGGAGCACAGGAGGAGGTTTCTTTTAGAGTGACTTAGCTTTTGATGAATGACAAAATATAAAGTAGTTGTGGTTCACCCTTGACCTCACTTTCTGCAGCACTCAATCTTCATTTTCCAAATTTATCATCTGATTCATTCATTATATTTTGTGAAAAATCTCTAAACTTCTTTAGTTTTGTATACATATCCTTAAATCCTGCCTGCAAGGATCAAGATAAATAAGCCGCTCAATTGCATGTAAATTCAGATATATAATTTTTTTTTACTTATCCTGAGCACAGGCATGTGATTCTCAGTCATAGCCTAATAATATCCCTTAGGCCTCAATTTCCTTGATTTTGGCCCATCTTTCATCAAGGACAGGACAATTTTTGTGGCAATAAACTGGAGTTTCCCTCAAGAATAAAATGAAGGGAGATTTGTTCCAGAAAAAAATTGTGGCCTTAAATTGGTGAACACTAAATTGAGGGTTGACTTTATAAACAAAAATGTGATTCCTAAATGCAGACCTTTTGACATAGTGACAAGGTCCAAACATCAATCCCAAAATTTTAATTCTAATTCTCGCCTTCATTGCAGTATGTTGAGCTTTTTAGTGGAAAAGTGAAAATGACACAACAAATGAAAAAAATTTGTTTTTGAAAAGCAGTGTTGAAAATCTGAATTATCAAAGCTCGTTTTGTTCCAAGCAATTCATTTCTTCCTACGTTGGCCTCATATATATTACGCAAATGCACGCGATACAAAACAACACATAAAAATTTATGATTTTGCAACTTTTTCTTGCGTGAGTTCCAAGCCCAACAACAATCAGAATATCTAATACTGTATTAAAGAATTACAGTATATCAACAAAGCTCAATACTGTATAGGCTCAAATCATTTGGACTGAAAACAATTGACAGATTGTCTGGATTTGAAAGTCCTACTTTTGCAGGCTTTAATTTTATGGGATAAGCTCTTTTTCACAAGAAAAAAATTACACAGAAAAAAAACACAATACATGTCAACCATGAAATAGATGTGCTAGTCTCCTGTGTAAGAAAATATGATGGAAAATTTTTTGATGAGATAATCATTCCTTTGTGCGATAAAATGCATGTTGTAAGGCTAAAAATAAAATGAAAGCTTATTTGCAGACATCTTTGACCTGTATAAATACAATTCTAATCCAAGACTATAGTGAACTGAACATAAAGGGATTATGTGACAGATGAAGGGTAAAAAAGTTTTAATCAAAGGAAAAAAAACTTGCATCCCAGCACAGCATGTAGAAAGCTGGCCACAAATTTGAATACTTGAGCAATAAGCAAGCCCTGTAATGTAACAAGCAGTGCCCAATACTATATACTCTTTCATATCAAGGGTATTTCTCCCCAGGTTATTGTTGCACTGGGTTCCAACTGAGCGACCTAAATTCTGATGGGCAGATAAAAAGTGAATTTAACCCATGTGAAGGGATGTTCACAAGTGTAGCAAGTTGCTCAACATAACTTGGTCTTTCTATGACATAAGTGAGCAAAAACTGTTGATCAATTTTCAGTCACATTTTCATTAAATATAATAATTTCTTGAGGTAATCACCATTTCTTGATGATGAAAAGTTGA